CTAACATGTAAGAAAATGCAATTGACTTCAACATCTAATCCCATGCAATCAAAATGTGATTTTAATAAACCAGTCACATGACAACTGAAGTAAAGGTTTAACAAAACATCTGAGAACAAGGACTGAGCAACTCAGAAAATGTCTGGGATAGATCAGACTCCTATGGAACAGTGCAAACTCTCCACAGTAGGAGTGCTGGCTCCTGAACACCATCCCTGTGTCCAGACTGCATCCCTGAAATTACCATTGAGACTTCTGCACAATTCATTCTGGGGTCTACCAACAGCTGCACTATAGGGAGTGACTATTTATGTAAAAAGATTTTCAAGGTAATGGTTAGATCATAGTTAATTCCAGCAAGCTTATTTCCCAACAGCTCCAGCTTCCCAGTCTCCCCTAGTACCTCCAGTAGTTTGCAGCAATCCTGCTTCTAATCCACCAGAAAAAATTGAGACTCCTAAAATGGGAGTCCCTGTCCAGTAAAAGGGCTCCTACACTACACCCTTAAGATGTGGGTTGCAGTAGATGCATGATTTTTTCCTGTACCATTGTCAAAATAACAGACATAGATATCTACTCCCCCCCCCCATTCCGAGTCTACTGAACACCTTTTGTACAGCTCTGATGAGAGATGGCTCGAAGCCTTGTCCAAGGTACCTCTTGCCTTCCTCCTAGAGCCCTTAGTCACGTGCTCTACCTAGGCGCTTGACCTCCTGGGTCAAGCTCAGGGACAGAATCTCTGTCCTCTTTTTCTTTTTTTTTTTTTATTTTTAAAAGTTTTTTTATTGAGCTTTTGTACATTTCATACAACAGTTTTTTTTTTTTTTTTTTGTTTTGTTTTGTGGTCTTTTTGAGACAGGGTCTCTCTGTAGCCCCAGCTAGCCTGGAACTCACTATGTAGACCAGGCAGCCCTTGAACTCACATAGATCCACCTGCCTCTGCAGCCCAAGTGCTGGGACAATAGGCATGCACCACCATGCTCAGCATACAACAGTTCTTAATGAAATTTAGACTCAACCCCCCACCATCCATGCCTCAATCCCACCAGACCTCATGTATTCCACCATACATGTTAAGTCCTATCCAGTCAAGCATTTGTACCCAGATGTTCTTGGGTGCAAATTCATTCACTGGAGTTTAGTCAGCCTATCTAAAGATTGTTGGTAAGGCCTACTCTTCCTCACCCAGTAGTAAAAAGCCTCCAATAGTTCCCAAGACTAAGGCCAACCTGTCACCCATTTCCCTCGCTCCATTCTGTACCTTTGTCTGATTGAGTTGGTATGGGTCCTGCACTGGATGCCACCATTACTGTGTCCTCTTTTTCTAATATCATCAGTACTTGACACATAGTAGGTACTTGATGAGAACCAGCCCCCCCCCCACAAAAGGACCAAAAGAAGTTAGACCTTTCACAGAAGAGTCCAGTGAGAGGAGAAAGGGGTGAAAACAGACATAGTTTATTATGTAATTATTACAAACTTACTGCATAATTTAGTTGCAAAATATTTACTATAAAAAATGAGGTTTATAGGCTAAAGAGATAGCTCAATGGTTAAGGGTACATACTGCTCTTCCAGAGGATCTGAGTTCAAATCCCAGCACCCATGTCAGGTGGCTCACTACAACCTTCGATCCAATGCCTCTAGCCTCCACAGGCCTTTGCACTCACATGTACATAACCATACACAGACACACATGCATACACATAATTTAAAAATGAAGCTTTAAAAAATGAGCTTTACAACTAAAATTTAAAACTCTGTAATGATCTGATAACCATAGGACAGGGTTCAATGCCATCTAGTGAAGCTGACACAGGTTTTCTAGAGACGTCACAAAACCAGTGTGAACAACGTAGCAGCATTTCAGAAGATATGAAAACTTAAGTATTTAGATGCTGTACATGAGAATAAGAGAAGCTCCAATAATGACATTAGATAATCACTCAATTTCTAGGTCTCCAAAAACTGAAGAATACTTTTTTTAAGGTTTCCATTAAATATTGAAAGAATAAGCAACACCACTTGGATGTTAACCTGAAAGATTTGAAACCAGTGATGCTCACCCATTACCCATGTTCAATGCAGCATCAGTCACAATAGCCATCTGGATTCGATCTAAGTGGCTACCAATGGATGAATGGATAGATAGTACGGTAAATATGCCCAATAGAATACTTACTACCCAGCTGTAAATAGGAGGAAATGCTGTCAGTGGCAACCCCTAGATAGAATTCCAGCTCACTGCACTAAGTCACATAAGCCAAACACAGGACAAATACTACATGCTCTCAGCAATATTTGTATCTGAAACAGCTGAGCTGAAGGGTGGCAGAAGCCAAGGTAGGGGTGGGGGTGGAGAGATGATGACCAAATGCCAGACAGAAGGAGTATGTGTTCTGAGATGTTAGTAATCATGGTAAATATAACTAAGCACCATGGAAATATGATACATTTCAAAGTTGCTAGGAGGGTGGATCCCAAATGTTCTCAGGAGGTTGCTGAATGTTTGGGGTGATGAATAGGTTGGTGTGGTCATTACATTGTATCAAAAAAAAAAAAATCACATCACTTTATGTCCTATAAATAAGATTATAATGTGTTCATATATAAAACTTCTGTGGCGGGGGGGGGCTGGCAATGCACACAACAGAGGCCATTTGCATGCACTGCTCACTCACTCTCCGCCTTATTTTCTTGAGACAGGGTCTCTCATTGATTGAACTGAGGCGAGGCTGGCAGTCAGCAAGCCCCAGTGATCCTGTCTTCTCAACCCCACCCCCAACTCTGGGGTTCAGGCCATGCATGCTCCCATACCAGCCTTTGATGTGGCTCTGGGAATTTGCAAGAAGCACTCCTACCCTCTGAACAATCTACCCAATCCTTATAATTTTTTGTTTAAAAAAAACTATTTGAAGTAGTTCAAAGATGTAGTTCTAACACTTTGTAAAGCACTACCAATGATTATGGGGATGCCAAATTCCCATCAGATTACACACTCAGTTTTCTTGTCTTTTTGTTTTCAGGTAAGCGAATGATTTATTACACTTTGAACTAAGTTCACGATCTTTTCTCATTTCAACTAAAACTACAAATATTTACGTCAACCACATGAATTTGTTCGCGAAGTGTCAGGACAGACACTGAGACCAAATGTCACCCAGAAGCTATTATTACAGACTGTGGCAACTTTTCATTGACTTGTTTTCCTAATTTTCCCCACATAATTCCTAAATCAAAAACTACCCAAGACATCTATGAAGCACATTCATCTTTTACTGAGTTAGAGGAATTGAAACAATCACAAGGTTGTATAAGAATTCAACCTCTAGAAAACATGGTGTCTATCAAATCATGTATCATGAGAAGAGTAGTAATTAGTGGTCTATTTGGGTTGGTCTTTCGTTTCATTTTCCTCTCCTGTACATCAAGGGTGGCTGTTTAACCGTAACAGTATTCCAAGTCCAGACAAACAGAAAGTAGGGAAATGAACCAAGAGTATAGCCAATCAGTGTTGTCTTCTTCCCAGCAGTGATACACAAAGGAGTTGATTCAAATAAGCCATGACTACCGGTATGAGTGTCCATCAACAGAGCCTTTCCTTTCTTTTTTCCCCAGTGCTGAGGACTGAACCCAGAGTTTCACACGATAGACAAGTCCTCTACCTTTAAGCTATATCCCTCCCAGCAGAATCTTTCTTGAAGGAATTTGGAAATGGAGTTTAAAGGCCTTAAAATTTATAGACCACTTTGACAGAAAAATATCCTAGGCAAATGATGGCATATATAATTAAGAACTTGGGTCTCTAGAGTGGCCAAGGTCATAAGCTTTTATTTCTGTTTGTTGTTTGTTTTGTTTGAGACAGGGTCTCCCTGTACCCTTAGCTGGCCTGAAACCTGCTATGTAGACCAAGCTAGCCTTGACCTAATACAGATCCATCTGCCTCTACCTCCCTAAGGCATGCACCACCACAACCAGCTATGGTCCTAAATTTCTAAGGCAAAATCCAATTAACAACCTATATAGACTGTGTGGCACATATCAGTAATTTCACAGATGACTAACCTCATCTATCAACTGGCACATCTTTTGCTGTTAGACAAATATGAACTCTTCAATAATCTTTCTGATATGGAGCCCAAGAACTGGCCGCAAACTCACAGGCATCCTGCCTAGGGCTTCTCGAGTACTGGGTTATTGGTGCCACGTCATGTGTACAAAAATATGAAAATGTATTTTTCCCAATGTACTATTCTCTTAATTTTCTTCCCATTTGTAAAGCTCACTGGTAGTACAATATTATATGGTATGGAAAGATAAATAAAACCCTAAACAAATACATATAAATTGCATTTCATTTTCATATAAAATATGGTCCTTTGGTGAAATGACTTTTAAAAAAATCCCTGTTGCCCAATGGGCTGTGACTATGGGGACAGCTGTCTATCACCTGAGGAAACGAAGGGTAGCAATGAAGGCAAATGACTCCAGGCCTGGGAATGAGGGATGTGGGCAAGTACATGCAGCCTGGGCTTCCCTGGGCCTCCAGTGCAGTAAAGGGTGGAAATGTCCACGGGTGCTGCAAAGGTTGGGAAAAGCAGCACCGACTACACGGGGCCTGAACTGAGCAGGAGCTGAGTGCAGGAATCTGAGCCTTGTGAAGCTTCTGGTCAAGGCTTCTTTTATCTTATGGAAATAAAGAAACTGAAACAAAATAAATAGAATGAACAATCAGTCAAGGTTTTATTTTATTATTGGCTAGAAAAACATTACAGTGATGACATTAAAGAATCGTCTCTGTTTTTCAGTATGGAAATGCATTTCTTCCAAGAGTCGCCTTGGTGCTCTCCCAAGAGTCCACTCCAACTTTTCCTGGAAATTTAGTTGTTGTATTCTTGAAGAGCCTGAGCCATGAAGAGTTTGCCTAAGTTCTGGGCAGTGAACTCCTTGATGTTCTGGCAGTAAGTGTTAATCTGGCCTGAGAGAGAGAGATGGATGGGGGCGAGGGAGCAAGAGAGAGAGAGAGAGAGAGAGAGAGAGAGAGAGAGAGAGACTCGTCCCCATTATCTTAAAGAAAAACAAAGGCTTTGAGAAG